AGACTCCAAATCTAATGCGATAGGGCGAAAAAAACAAGGCGTACCAAAAAAAGAAGGATCCTACATTTTCAAATTTTGACATCGTAAACCTTGTTAAACACGAAATGATACCTATATCGTGCTAAGTTTACTGCCAACTATCATAACACCCATTAGTCACTGAAAAATAAAAGTTGTCAAAGAAAAAGGCATAACAATAAATCAGAGCCTTGTCTTGTCTCCTCTCTTCATTATCTGTCATCCACCTTCCGGCATGACAACAGACATCTTTGCCCATTTTCGCCATGTTGACCACTTTCAAAGGACAACAAACTTTCTTTTGTTTTTCAAAATGTCGAAAATCAGGCGAAAATTAATTCGCGCATCGATGTCATCCATAAAAATTACTTGCTGTAGCCTTATATGCACGGAAGGGGGAATTTGGCAGTCTGGTGATTAGAGTTAATAACGTTAGCTTTGGTTTTTAGTCAACTTCAATGTCAACAGCGGAACTTGATGAATAGTAGCGACAAAATTGAATAAGAGCGAGGAAGGAGCCGTGGAAGGAAGTAATAATTTTGAGCTTTTAAAATGTCCAACCATGTTGAAAGTTAGGAAATAAATTATATTACAAAAGAACTTTTGTTCCGTCAGAACTGGCTATTAATTAGATGTGTTTTATTGTATCCCGAAATTGTTTTTTTTTATTTATGTCTTTGATTTGTATTTATAGCAAACTAGATGGTGTTCAGCAGTTTTGATGACATACAAAGCTGTTTTTCTTTTTTGTTTACCGAAGGAAAACATATTGTTTTTGCTACGTTTCTTCTTCTTCTTCTGTTCCAAACACTAACCTCTGACTTGGCCAATGACCTGATTTGTTGACGTCTGTCACCATGGTAACTGCTGTTGGGTTACATAATGTTGCAATTTTATAGTAGGAGGTATTTAGACTCCTGTCTGACCATAGATACGAATGTTAAGAAGTAACAGAGAAGACCATATGCGAAGGTAAACATTAATACGCATTTGCTTTGCAAATGTTACCTTTCTAGTGTTCAACTTGGTTTGCCTTCAAAAGTAACCGTTATATTCAGCCTTCACTGTCGACCTAGCTCATATACCCCTCCCGGTGCGCTCTGAACCAACTTAACGATTCTACAGAAGCACCGTGGCGAATCTAAGAACGACGATAAATTAGCCACAAATTGCCGTTCGTTCCTGGGAAGATAGGAAAAAGCTTTCCATAATGAGACAATTGTACTTTAGCGACGCGTTCCACGCGAGACATTATATAGCTTCCAATTTTGTCTTCGTTAGCCAAATCGATTTCATTTCAATGCGATATTCCACGAGTGATTTTTCTTCATTCCATGGGTTTTATCTTATATGTAACGTTAATGATATAGATGTTGTATTTGTATTATATGGTGGCATTCATAAAACGGTGTAATGTAAGAACATTGTGAGATATAAGACCGAAAAATTCAATCTGGAAGTCGGATGTGGAACTGGCATCAACGAAGATGAAAACAAGTCTTTTCTTTTTGTTAAAGAAATACCAAGACTTGGTCGTATTTCCTTACGTGGGATTTTATGCATGTGGAAGCTTTCATCGACATACAAAGGTCTAGAGTAAGAGGAATGGAAAAATTGCGGCAACAGAATTGAACGGAAACTACCGTAGCTTGCCGTACGTAGCAGCGGAAATTTGCATGACCAAACTTGACGAAAGGATCAACAAAGGAATATTCGATTCAGTTACACAGAAAAATAAGAGGTGAATGGTTAGATATACGTTTTTTTACTGTATAAATATATTTGAAAGTTTCATGCAACTTTATGAACTTTATGGTCGTCGAAAAATGCACAAGAATACACACTGAAACAAAAAAAATCCAGGTAATCTTCAAATAGTTTTGTATCTTACGAGTATTACAGTATTCCGTTCCCTTCCGGATTGCTATGGGATGACGTTATTGTTTAACTTTTGAGAGCGATATTGTTGTTGTATATTTATCTATCATGGCATGTATCATTGCACTCAGTAAACAATCTTAAAATAAACAATATCAAAGTTTGAATTGGAGGATAAGAAAAGAACCACGCCTTAATGAATTCCAGTGGTTTTACAGCGATTATATTTTTATTGTCATTTTTATATGGGGTAACACTACCTACTCTCCAAGCAGTGGTTTGGGTTTTGGGTTATTTTTAGCGTGTTTTTGGACTTTCTTATCAGGGTTTCTTTTTTGAACTGGAATTTTTCTTTCACCCAACCAAGAGAAGAAAAATTCCAGTGCAAAAAAGAAACCCCGATAAAAAAAGTCTAAAAATACGCCAAAAATAACCCCAAACCCTAACCTCTGCTTGGAGAGTAAACACTACCATCTTTCCCCCAACATCTGCTTGAAAATTTCCTCGAAACCGAAGTAGGATTTTGTTACTTTACTTGTCAGGATCCTGACAGCGCACATTCCAGTAGAGACAGGAGACGGGCGGCTGGCAGCTTTGAGGCCGGGCAGCTGTTGTTTCAACGATAGACAACTTTCTGAGCGGACTACCTGCAGACGATTATTATTTCTCTAAACATCCACGCGTGTGGTGCCATTTTTCTCGCCCCGATTCTTTGGGTGTTTTAGGGTGTTGGGTGTGTACTGAGCTAAGTAAAGAAGACGATGGCACGGTCAGAGTATACGTAAATGTACTCTCCATTTAACAATCACCGAACAGAGGTTTGGGTTATTTTGGCGTGAATCGGGGTCTCTTTTTTTGCACTGGATTTTTTCTTACCCAACCAAAAAAATTCCAGAGCAAAAAAAGAAACCCCGATAAAAAGGTCTAAAAAGACGCCAAAAATAACCTAAACCTCTGCTTGGAGAGTACGTAAAAGAAAAGGGGGCACAAAAATGAGAGAAACCGAAGTCGAAGACGGGAGAGAATGAAAGAAAGTATGAAAGAGAACAAAAAGGACCGGTACCGACTTTGCAAAGCTTTTCTTCAAACACGACCCAGATTAAAACTGATTATAAAGAGGTCATCTTCTACTCTCAAAGCAGAGGTTTGGGTCTTGGCTTATATTTGGCGTGTTTTATGCTTTTTTTAAATCGGTACCGGGTTTCTTTTTTTGCACTGACTGAATTTTTTTGACGTAAAAATATTCCAGGGCAAAAAAGAAACCCCGATAAAAAAGCATAAAAACACGTCAAAAATAAGCCAAGACCCAAACCTCTGCTTGGAGAGTAGTCACCTTCTAGATCTAATGGTTTTGATTGTGATTGCTCAAATTATAGATGTGTAGTGCACAATAAACAGACCATGCAATAAACAAAAATAACAAAGTTCTGTTATTTCATTACCTATCGTTATTTCATTGGTTATCTTTGTAATTAAGTTTGAAATCTATAGAAGCAACAAAACGACAGCTAAAATAACATACAGGTAATGTTTGAAGATGACGCGACGATTACTCATTTCCTATTTCTGGTAAGATAAATGTGGTTCTAAGTAAAATGCTTCATCTTCTAAACTATTTCGAGTTTTAAAACAGCAAAATGCGTTTTATATACATGTACTATGTACAATGGGGACACAGCAGTTATGTTTGTATAGCCTCTACCAGGCTCCGCGGATCGCTGGAAAAATAGTAGAAATGGGCGTGGGTCGCAAATTGGAGCTTCTATGGCCGGCTGGATCTTCTCTGGTATACTATTCCCTTTATTACGGCCCATTTCTACTATTTTTCCAGCGATCCTCGGAGCCTTGTAGAGGCTAATGTTTGTATATGTTTACAAAAGTAAAGAACGTTTTCTGTTGTGTATTACGTCATGGAAGAGCTTCCAGACCGTAACGACTGCTAATCGTTTGGACAATAAACATAACTGCGTCGGTCGACCGCTTCCCTCGCATTTCTGTGAGTCAGATGTGTGTGGGCATCTGTCCCACATCCCACCACACCTTTCATTGTCTCCCTGAAAAAACCCTTATCTCTCTTCTTTTCTCTTTCACTTGCAACATTTGCATACTTAATCTCCCCCTTTGTTGAAATGCTACAAAACGAGCAGCTGCCATAATCACCGAATAATTGAAAAGGGAGACTTAGTTTAGTAGTCTGTTCACGTTACCAAGACAGCGTAAAACCGTTGGCCACCTTCGAGGTGTTTCTTTACACCGTCTCAAGTAAGGCATGTAAGACGGGGAGCATGGCTCACTAGTGCCGAGTGGCTTCCGACATTCTTCTGAGCTTTCGTCAACAGCTGACGCCACAACTTGCAAATTTCGCCTGATTCGAGCGCCCCACTGTAAAAATAAGACAGAGAAAAAAATCATCAGATACTGACTTAGTGTATGAGTGAGATTGAACCCTTGACGACTTCGTAATCTTTTCATTTATGCCTATAGTTCACCTGAAATGTCGGCAAGATCCCTTGATGTGGTGTACATTCACCTGGTGAGTAACACCTTGCGGTCGTGAGGTGTACTCACTCACTGGAGAGGCGGTAAGGGAACACCTCGCGAGCATAAACAACTTCGCAACGCGAAATTCACACAGTCGGATAAAGGAAGCCTTTCTTTGCACTGAAACCCTAACCGGACAAAGAGAAAGAGGAGCGGTGGATTGAAAGACTAATGGCTAAGGATGCCCTTTTCAAGTAAACCATTCTAAAGTGTACATGAACCCTGGAGCAAAGCCGACTGCTGATTGGTCGCCAATGGCCCAATGAGAGTTGCAAAACAAAAAGTAGCCAATGAGAACCCGGAAATACGCCGTTGTGTTGCATTTTAGCTGTTGAGTTTACCGTACGCTACCAGTACGTGATATAACAATACCTTTTAATATTTCATTATAATATTAGCTGTGACTAAATAATATTATTCAAAATTAAAAAATAATATAGGTTGTTGAAAAACGTGATATTTGGTTTATGCATGTAGTTGCAGTCTGAAATTATTCTGTTATATTTATGTTCCCGCAGGTGGCTGTTGGTAGATAGAACAGCTAAGACGCATACTCGGGTCATGAATAATGTATGTACCACTCGGACTCGGGGAGCGCCACTGGACCTCATAAATTTTCACAACTGAGGTTGAAACACTACGGGAAAGAGCCAAGGCCCTTGCGTGCTTCCTACAGAAAGTTGGCCGCCAATGTTGACGATCAAGTGACGGCGAAACGCGTGGATCGTTCGTGACGGTCACAGGGAGGTTTAGCGTGCGAGAAGGGATCGTTTCGGACCGGGGTACGGGGCCGGACAAAGGGCCTGGGAAAGTCGGGCAGCGAGAGGATCGTCTTTCCACAGGCGTTGTGTGCTGGCTGTGTGAGATCAAGTTTCCTGTGGAATGATCATGGCAGCGTGGCAGAGGACTTTGCTGCCTTTCGGGGCTCTTTTTGCCTTCCTGTGTACGTGTCTGGCTGACCTGAGAGCATCCACGGAGTGTAAGGACGCCCTCACGTTGTATTTCATGAAAACTTCCAACTTGAACTCGGTGACGGAGAGGGCAGTACCAGGTAAGTGGTATCCAGAGTTCCCCCCTCCCCTTCTAACACAGCACGACCTAAGAACAAATTAAATTACTCAATTTTAGTACTCTAATTCACCCCTTTAACTATATAGGCTAGCCCCGCAAGTTCTCAGGATTAATGTGTAGTAGTTTTTGAGCCGATAAGGGCCGTGAGAACGGGTAAAATTGAGCAAAATGGGCGCCTTGTCTGCCGTAAGCCGACCGACGAACCAGCGATGAATCGATTCAACTCGCTAGCACTGTTGCCCAAGGTTCTCAAGCGTCCGTAGGGATAGGGCCTGAAAAAACAGACATTTGGGAGGAACAGGACGGGGCATATCTGGTCAGATTGTTCAGATAAAGGCCGTAGCTACCTACCAGATAGCTTTGTTTGGAAGGTGGGAGGGCGAGCGAGCGAGCAGGCGACGTGCAACATGCATCTTGCCCCCCGGTCACCCGGCCATTGTCCGCCCATGATTAACACTTCAACAATCGGCGGTATATTTTTGGTCGGCGTAGGGATATACACTGGTATGTACGGAAAAATGTTGGCCAGATACGAACCTCAAAAGGTCCACAAATCCACCGTTAAAGTGGAGGATAAAACTACAGGTCGCGCGGTTATATTTGCTGGCCTTGTGTACAAACTTAGAAGCAGCTGTAAGTGTTTATAGTTGGGAGGACTCAACTCCAGACACCACAAAGCCAGGCCCACACGGTGAACTAAAGAGGAATTTTAAATGAGGACCACCATGAAAAATCGCTTTACTGGTTCAGATTTTCCCCTTTAGCAACACAAAAAATATATATCAATGATTCAGGATATGTAATAAAATCCTAGTGTATCAAACACGGTGCCTCATTGTGCAAATAGTTGTTTTTCCTCGGATTTTTGCAAACCCAAGACGTTGTTGTAAAAGAAAAGCACAAACACATTTTGCTTGTGGAATGAGCAAGCGTTTGTGTGGGACAAGAGCATTTTCTTGGAAACACTGCCACATGGCGGACGTTGGCTGATTCGCCATCTACAAGTGATGAAGAAAAAATGAGCGAATTACCCAAGGGAGCAACCCAAATTGTGTAGAGTCCTGCGACTAAATAAAATGGGCAAATATCCTCATCATTAAAGCCCATTAATGCCAGTACCAATGCCTCACGTCGGCTTTTCCTACACAAACTAGCGAAACGCCGAAAGACTAGTTTCGTTGATATTTCTGCAGTTTTAGATTCACCCTCTTCAGTGTTATTCCAAAGCAACATGGTCTGGTGGCAATGATAATTTATTCATTCAGCATTATCTCACCCATGATTTTTTCATGAATAATGTCAGTAAAATTTGATATATTATCTTGCCAAAGCAAAATCCAAGTAAATTGCAAACTAACAAAATTTATTACCCAAATGTAACCAGTATTTTGGTACAACCATTATTCATGTAGGGCGAAAATATGGCGATATTTTTCAACGACTTATTGTTAAAGCCTCTGTAATACTAGAAGGTGACAGGAAATGATTTGTACCAGAATTATTCCATAATTCATGAGCGCCACATAAATCCCGTCTTTTCTATTTTCATTATCAGTCAGCTTGCCTTATCCCAGCAATACTACATGGTGATATGACCTATCTGCCCACTAGTTATCTGGGTTTTGAGGGAAATCCTTCCATTTGCGGGTTGATCGTATCTCAGGGACACGGAATAGCCCTCGTGTAAAGCACAGCCGAAATTGCGCTTGATGTCTGAATCACAGCGAAGAATACACATTTTTAAAATCAAAAGCATCATTTTTGCTTATGTTCCAATAAAAATAAGTACAGCTTTTGTTGAATCAGTGGCTGATTGTTAAAAGTGGTAGGCACTTAGGAATTGTAAAAAAAAATCCATATAGAAAGTATGTGTGTGCGCCAGCCGGCCATTAGGCTAACAATAAAGCTGATTTACTGAGCAGTTTAGTACTGTAAGCTTTAATTATGCATTGTGGCAATTTGGATAACCTTTTGGTCTAACTGTCTATAGTCATTCAAGGTAGATATTTATCACTTTTAGGTAGTGGGCAGCTTAAAATACCATATGTGCTCTTTTGGCTACACATCATCATCCCATGTACATTTTTGTACATGTCATTTGGAGTAGTCGGGGATATTTTCGTAAATGCCATTTCTAATTTTATAGACACAAAATTAATGTACCTGGAAAAGTTATAGCTGGTTCACTAATATATGAATAGAATATATATGTTGTGGAAAAAAGAGAGCATTTTGGAATATCTTTGGAAAAGCATCTGTATCTCATACGAGACTGTAACACGAGTTCAGGACCAAGGCATGTAGGATGTGAGGTATTCCGTGTTGTTTTAATGACACAGCGGTGTCTGTGATTGTATCGATTTCAGGAAGTAGCCAAAAAACGTACAAGGAATTACAAGGAGGGCTAAGACACGCGTTATCATTGGTTTACTCGGTGCTCTTCAGAATAATCACATTTCAAGGTGGCCCATCCGAAATTGGATTAACGATAAAGGTGCAAGAAGATAAGGATTGATGTAATCCGCGGTGTCAGTGTTCCTTGAGCAGGAAGCAAGCTTGGCGGTCAGAGGTTGGAGTCTGGCGCCTAGCCCGACCAGCCAAGACTGCGTAACGTCCACCCTAACAACTACTTGGTGCGAAAAGTCAGCAACCACCTCATTAGCGGCTGTGAAAAACTTCTTGCCAAATAAAGTGTAGTGGAAAGATTCGATCAGGGCTTATCTAAGTGCAGGGTTGAGAAATCTTGGGTTGGAGAAATGCCACTTGAGGCGGATTGAAGTAGGCAGCTGTATTTGTCAGGGTCTAAGAATGTGCCTCTAATTATTGTTGGTTGCTCCAGTCAGTTGTGTTTCCTTTGAATAAACATAGTCAGTCTGAGTGGGTTAGACCTCAACCTAATGAAAGAAAAACATCCTTTAAGTATGTTTAAAAGAACGTAGGAAGCCATGGAAATACACGGCATAATTGCTCTTGATTGAAAAACAAATTGGGCAGACAGAAAAAATAACAGTTTTAGTTGAGACAGGATTTGGACAATCGGTGGTTAAGAAAACACATAGGTTAGAAGATAGTTGTTAAAGTTTTATCTCAGTTCAGTGGTTTTGTTGTAAAAGATAAAAACTTGTTGGTTCTACTCAAGGGTGTTTACATTTCTAAAATGATAACCTAGCCCTGCAAATCATGTGCAATCAAAGATGTGTGATTCAACAGGACATCCTGTCCACAGACTTTTTTAATTATCCTAAAATATCCCTTCTGCTTTGGGTCAAGTTTTCGCATTGAATTTGTGTGAAGGCTGCATTCCACAAAGAAAAAGTAGCCAGATTAGAACTCTGCCATGTATTTGACTTGGAAACAAAAGAGAAAGCAAACATTTGATAAAATCTTGAAAGTTTGGTTGAACCCTTCTGTCAAAAGTGTTTCCAGTTGTGCGGACTATCCACAAACATTAGATAAAATGTATTTCCAAGAAAAAGCGACTAACAGTTCAACACAGGTGTGTTTTATCAATGTAAGTTCCAGTGCCTAGGAAATTGGACCACATCCCAAGTTGGGCTCTTACCAAATTGAGCTTCAAATCATGAGAGTAAGCCATGCTGGCAGCTCACCCTCTAGTCCTTGACATCAGCAACAGAAATTTGAAGCATTGCCAAGGCTCTGACCAGATGGTAACATTTGCCATGTTTCTAATCAAGTAGAACTGACTCCATTCTAATGAGTGTGTGGGTTGCCATAGATAGTGCATTAGCCAGTTCAAATGGCAAGAAGATAACCCTAGCTACTTGTATCTACGTGGACGTCGTTTATCTGAAGTCCTTTCTGGTTGTCACGTTTTGTTGCAGCCGTGTGAGATTATGTAAACAAAGAAATTATATTTCTGAAGTGTCTGTGACCGCTCTGGTATTATAAATAGAAGGAGTGGTTACATCTATACCAGATGCTATTTCACATTCACGCGGCGTGGTGAGTTAACAAGAAGTTATGTAAGCTCTAAAATTGACAAAGATGGCAATTTGCTTGCGTCGATAAGAGTTAACTGATTGGTTTGATGATAGTAAGATCAATTATAAGGAAATAATGGCAACTGACAGGATAGTAAGAGCCGAGGAGGTCAGGGTTTTTCCTGTCATCGTAACTAGGGGTGGTATGTGGAAGGGGGTTATAATTGTACTGCCCCACACTAAAGATACACCAAGGGGAGAATTTTGGATATGGGATTTAAACATTTGTATGTTTGCAATGTGAAGAATGCTAGGTGGGCCATTTTGCCGACATAATCTCTGCTGTAGGTAATGGTCGCCCTCGGGCGGTAGGTGTCGTCGGAACAATGGCGATAATGCACGTCCGCTTTGGCGACAAAGGCCCGCCACCGGCGACAAACGGCACAGTTTAGCCCTCAGCAGTTCGCTGCCGTACATCGTTATTTGGTATTGTCCCATCATAAAGGATATTTCAGGAAGAGGAGGCTTACCCCAAATCACTGGACAGCTGACAACAGAGGCCTGGTGATTTCAGTCTCAGGAAACAGATCCCATTATTGATAAGATTTTTAAGGAATCTTTTACTGTTATTGTCTTTTTAGACAAATAGGGCTAATTGCAGTCCTTAAGGGCAGTGGCTTTAAGATGTAGGACAGTTCCCACACTTCTATTCCAAGATGTCTTCGAAGATAATGATTTTTACTTCCTATAAAATGCCCCCCTCCCCACAACTCATATCTTGTCATGTAAGATGATAACCAAAACTTAAGTCACAATTAACAGTATCATTTTTATCGTGTGTGTATGGAATTTTGATTCTATGAATTCAGGCAAAAGTTTTGAGCCTCTATGTATAAACTTCAGTAATCTATGTGCTATGATCTGTAAGAAGATAGGGCTGTCTTGACATCTGAAGCTACTTCCCAGATACCAGAAGACAGTGTTTGTGTGCTCTCACAGAAAGGAAACAATACTTACTGGCAATGATTGAAGGCGTGTA